AGTGAACCAGGAGGGAAGTATTTGTGGCATTTACTCCAGAGAAAGATGACATCAGGAAACCAGCTGAGATAGTGGCAGATAACATTGTGAACTGGCTCAGAGAGAGGAAGGTAGACCAGACCCTGCAGGCCATTGAGGACAGCACCAACATCGAACACAGGGTATAAATATACAGTGGATAGAGCGGAAGATTGGGGAGGAAGCTGGTCTGGATTGTTTAGACCTCCACACCAACGAGTTGCCACCAGACATCTGATCCAGGAGCTGGATGGCAAGACTCTTCAAACAACAGATGGTCTGGTCCTCTTGGGGTCATGCCTGATAGATTGCTTACCTGCAGATAGTGTCTCATTGTGGCTCACCTCAGGTTCTGCAGAATTTGTCGCTCATCATAAACTGAAACCAGCTTCACAACCTGAGACTTATTGTCCAATTCATCGAGTGTCTACTTGCCAAATTGGTTCTAACACCAGGTCAAGTCATCGTTCAAGGTCCGAGGTTCTTCCAGCTGAGCTCCTGAGGAGTCAGCCAAGGAAGTTGTTCAGATTGTGGAGCAGACTGTGAGGAGATCTTCCTGGTATGCCATCCTGAGGCAGTTCTGCAGACAATGCTCTGCAGTAAGGATGAGGAGGAGAGAAGAGTGGCAGTCAAAAGATCTTGGATATGAGACTTATGAGAGGATCTGGGCATGACGAATCAGTTGGACGATTCCTTCAGGGTCAGGAAGACTCCTGAAGTCAATCTAGGTGCTAAGACCCTCACTGATCTCAAAGATCTGGATAACATCCAGGCTGGCAGTGAGCCCCTCTACCTGCAGCCTCACCAATGTTCAAGTCAGAGCTTCCTGGACAACCCATGCATGTCTGCCTGGCCCAGACACCCAGAGTATAGAGCTGTACAGCAAGTAGCGAGGCCAGCAGTCACGTGGCAGCCAGGAGAGGAGGGAAGGCTACATCCGAGCTCAGGTGGTCAGCAGGAGGTGATGAGTAGAAACAGAAGCAAGAAAGACATGTTCTCTATGGTGTAAGCAACACCGGGTCGGTAGTAAAACCGGTTTTGTATTTGATGATTGTTTTCTAAAGGAATATTAAATTTATAAATGTGTCAAGATCATTCGTTTCAATTATTCTGGATCATTTTCATCCTAATAAATTAACCTGATACATTTACTTTACTTTAAATAAGCTATTTAGGTGGTGTTGGTAAAAGGGGTGGGAATACTGAATTTTCAAGACCAAGGGTGAATAGCTGCCCAGGGCAATTGCTATAAATTGCAGACTGGATAAACATTTTGCAAACAATGATTGGGCGTTCATTGATAACTGGCGACCGTTCTATGGCTACTACTACATGTACAGTCGCGACGGGGTACTTTGTCTCGCGCGGGGGTAAAGACGTTGTCTACATCCCTGGAGCGTAAAATTATCACTCCAAAGGGGGGCGGGGAGTTCACCAGTAGAGGGAGGTCACGGTAAGTGGAAGTAAAAAAACAAGCATGCCTTACGTAGTAGAATTGGTTACTCAGGACAAGGGGTAAAACAGGACCAGGGAAGGGTAGGTTTAAATGTATACTATACAAACAGTAGGAGCGTTTTAAAATAGACTTGCTGAGAGCGGTTGTATGTACCGAGAATGTAGACGACATAACAATCACCGAAACTTGGATGAATCTGGCGAGCAAGAACTTTTTATCAGAGGACCACATAGAAGGGTACTACCTTTTTCACAAGGACAGGGAAGGTATGAAGGGGGGAGGGGTCGCCCTCTTCGTCAGGAATACATTCAAATGTTGTATTAGTAATTCAATAAAGGGTTAAATAAGAACCGAGTCTGTATGGGTATAAATTGCGGAAGGAAGAGAAAAAAAAGTTATAAGAGTGAGTTACTGGACCCCAAGTATTGGAAAAGAAGCAGCTCAGCCCTTCTGGCAGGAAATGAGTAGGGGGATTTCAACTTCAGAAATATTGACTGGGACAACATCAAAGGTGACTATGACTTCCTAGACGTAGTACAGGACAATTTTTTTAAAACAGCAAATTACAGAACCAACTAGAGGTTACAATATATTTGAACTAGTATTAACAAATAAAGAAAATATTATCAGAGATATCACAGTAGGGGAAGAACTAGGGAACAGTGATCACAGAGAAATAAGGTTCACCCTAAATTGGGAAACGAAAAACAATGACAATATGGTCAGACTCCTAGACTTTCGATCATTATGAGGTGCTAAGAAGGTACCTAGGTGAGGTCACCTGAGATCGGTCACCTCCGGTGAGGTCACTGGAGACAACAATTGATCATGAATATACTAAATTCAAGACTATACTACGTAAGAAAATATACCATACAGAAAAATTAGGTCAAATAAGAATGAGCCAAGGTGGATGATCAAAAAACTTAAACATGACATAGAAATAAAGAAAGGAATTTATAAGAAATTAAAGGGAGGGGAGGAGCAGCTCAGAGATAGGTATAATGAACTCTCTTGGAATGTTAAGAAAAATGAAAGGAAAGCAAAGAGGGACTACGAAATCAGGATAGCTAGAGAATCCAAGGCGAATCCCAAGGGAATTTCCATGTATATAGGACAAAGGTCAAGGACAAAGTAGGACCTTTAAGGTCAGAGAGGGGAAGTGATAGATGATAGGAAATAAGAAAAGCATTAAACAGCTACTTATCAATTTTCACAAAATAAATGCACGAGGAAACGCCAGAGATGGAACTGATATTTAGGGGAAAAGAAGAAGCGAAACTAAAGGATATCACTATCAGAAAATAGGATGTTCTTTAGAAGATAAATAAATTAAGGAAGACAATATCCCTAGGGCTGGATGAAATTTTCCCTCGAGTTTTGAAAGAAGAAGAACATAAGAAAATAAGGAGTCTGCAATAGGCCGGTTGGCCTGTGCATGGCAGCTCCTGTCGAGAGTTACTACCACTCTCTATCATCCATGAATCTATCTTGCCTCCTTTTGAAACTTTCCAGAGTTCCCGCACTTACTACAAAGTTGCTAAGCTTGTTCCACTCGTCCACCACCCTATTTGTGAACCAGTTTCTTCCTATCTCCCTCCTAAACCTAAACTTATCCAACTTTAATCCGTTGCTGCGAGTCCTATCCTGCTCGGATATTATAAGAACTTTATCTATATCACCCTTATTGATTACTTTCACCCACTTAAATACTTCTATCATATCTCCCCGCACTCTTCGTCTTTCTAGGGAATGCAAGATAAGTTTCTTTAACCTATCCTGATATGGAAGGTTTCTAAGTCCCGGAATCATTTTTGTCATTCTTCGCTGCACTGACTATAGTGAATTTATATCCATTCTATAATAGGGGCACCAGAACTGAACCACATAATCGAGGAACAGATTAGCGGACCCCCTCGTAAATATATTTACAAAATCATTAGACACGGGGGTTGTGCTTGATTTGTGGAAACAAGCAAATGTTTGTACCCATATTCAAAAAGGGAGACAGAGCATCAGCGTCAAATTGATGGCCGATTACTTTAACGTTAGTAGTAGGGATTTTTTTTTCGAATCAATGATAGCAAATAGCATCCGATTCGCATTTAGAGAAAAACAAATTAATCTACGACTCTCAACATGGATTTACAAAGGGAAAATCTTGTCTAACAAATCTACTGACGTTTTGTAGGACAGTCTTCGAGGCAGCAGATAATGACGAATATTACGATGTTATTTATTTAGACTTATGCAAAGTATTTGACAGAGTACCTTATCAGAGGCTTTTGAGAATAGTTATGGCTCATGGTATCAATGGGAAAGTCTTAAATGGATAAAATCGTGGCTCACCGATAGAACACAGAGGGTCAGCGTAGATGGTGTTAAATCTGAGTGGTGTTGTGTAACCAGTGGGGTTCCCCAGGGGTCAGTACTGGGCCCACTCTTGTTCATAATCTACATAAATGATCTAGATACAGGGATCAGCAGTGACATAAGCAAGTTTGTGGCTGACACCAAAATAGGGCGGCAGATTAATTCAGGGCAGGATGCAAATGCACTAAAGGTGGATTTAAATGAACTGCAGGAGTGATCCGAAAATGGCAATGATATTCAATACCAGAAAGTGCAGGGTAATTTATATTGGAAGAACAAATACTTATAATGTATACAGCCTTAACAACATCAATCTAGAGAAGTCGACTTGTGAAAGAGATTTAGGCGTACTCGTAAGCCCGGACCTTCGGCCTAGAAAACAGTGCGTTAATGTTCGAAATAAGGCAAACAGAGTATTAGGTTTTATATCTAGAAGTGTAAGTTATAAGAGTGCGGAGGTCATATTGCAATTATATCTTGCGCTAGTCAAGCCGCACCTGGATTATACTGTTCAGTTCTGGTGCCCTTATTATTGAATGGATATCAATTCACTGGAGTCGGTGCAGCAAAGAATGACGAAAATGATTCCGGGACTTAGAAACCTTCCCTACCAAGATGGATTAAAGAAACTAAACTTGCATTCCCTAGAAAGACGAAGACTGCGGGGAGATATGATAGAAGTATTTAAGTGGGTGAAAGGAATCAATAAAGGGGATATACATAAAGTTCTTTTAATATCCGAGCAGGATAGGACTCGTAGCGACGGATTTATGTTGGATAAGTTTAGGTTTAGGAGGGAGATAGGAAGGAACTGGTTCACAAATAGGGTGGTAGACGAGTGGAACAAGCTTAGCAACTTTGTAGTAAGTGCTGGAACGCTGGAAAGTTTTAAAAGGTGGCTAGATAGATTTATGGACGGTAGAGAGTGGTTGTAACTCTCGACAGGATCTGCCATGCGCAGGCCAACCGGCCTATTGCAGACTCCTTACTGTCTTATATTTTTATATGTGTACACAAGTTAGCAAGCAGATGATGGAAGTAACTCTTTATATGTTCTACTAGATGAATGTAACTATTTTAAAGGGAGAAAGGGAAAAAAAATATGTTGCTTCAAAATTTACCTATACTTACAGTAGGTGTGAAGGCAACTCACCCGGGAAAAAATTGATACCTCGCCAGAGCCGAGGGGTTACGTCACCTCGGTAAAGTAGTCGGACTTGAGCCTCGCCTCTGTTGCAGTACAGACACCGTCTATAAACCAACAGTTGTTTGTTGTCTTCTGTTAAAGCAAGGTAACGGTAATAATATATCTTTATTGGGAGTATAGACAGATTTTTTATAACCAAAAAATTCATTCGATATGATCATGATGAAATATGATGCACCTTGCTTGTCCTAAAAAAAATGTATTGTAATATGAAATTCTCTGAATATTACATGCTCACACCCAAAGTCTAATTATATCAAGTCAATCCATGCTCAGGAGGAGGAGCTAATTTGACGTCGTTGGCCGAAGTCGAAGAAACTGGTAGTAAGGAGGACTCGTATTTATCACAGGTGAGACCACCCCACTGTATTAGTAGATATTCTTGCCATATTTCCTGATTTTCTCATCCCCTAGCACACAGTTAGTCGCTTGAACTTTTTGTGTAATCATTATTTTTATGATATCCTTATAATTAAAAATTTATTATTATTATTATTATTATTATTATTATTATTATTAATCTTCTTCCTCCCTTTATTATTCTAAATTCTATTATTATTTTGCTGACAGTATCAGTGTAAAAGCAATTAAGTTATCATAGGCATATGAGCTAACTATTTACTAGTAGAAGGAAAACAAGAATTAAATAAAATAAATAAAGAAAATAATTACACAAATTATTAATGATTATAATTATCATCATTCTCTCTCTCTCCCCCCAAGCCATTACAGAAAATCAGACATTACAATTATATATGTTTAGAGGTTTTCAATTTGTCAATATGTCCACTGGATATATTATAGATGACTAGTCTCTCCACACCCGGTTCCCAAGCTGAACTTTAGACTTTAAGGAATTTAAATTTAAACCTGCAAACGACTCTAAGGTATTGCCCTTCCTGCTGTTGCACCCTACTGTATATATTTGCTACATGCACAATAAAATTCACTTTTTTTTCATCCTTTTGAAATCAATGAAATATACTTTTATCATGTAGTCTGTAATTTGATATGCATCCAGATACAGCACATGTATCAGCCAATATCACAGCTGACCATATGACGTCCTGCGCAGCAAAGGAAAAATTTTCGACTCGAAGTGGCTTGACTTGGTATAATTAGACTCTGATTACACCCTTGTTGCAGAAAATCTCTTCCTAATGTCTACAGTAAAACCTCAGGGATCATTACCTCTCATGGTGCTTCCTTTCTTGAGCCTCCTGTTAGGTGATGGTCCTTGGCCGCTGTGAAAAGTGAAGTGGTGGAAGGTGAGGTAAAGGGTGTGGATGGTGTTGCGGAGACTGTGATGTAGGAGGACGTCCTCCACGCCCTCGTTTCCACCCACCACTACCACACGAGCCTCTGGCCGTCGCCATAGCTCACACCACTCCAGAAATCTGTGGGAGGAAATAAGAATTTAATCTACAGAACAACATACACTCAACTGGTAATAAAAATATAATCACATTTGTACAAAAGCTATACTTACAGCAAGTGAATACATTACTTTACGAGCTGCAGTGTATCCCAGAATGTAAGGCTAAGCAGATGCTCATTATATACCAAGAAACCTTCACTATAGGGTCGTGCATCACGGCAAATCGTTCAAACAGCTATGTTCAGTTGGTGTCCGTAGAAGTCTAATTCACTGGTGACTTTAGTCATTGATTCAGCGGCCCTTCCAACTCTCCGCCTTGCATTCAACTATTCGAGCTATTAGTGGGGCAGCTAAATGCAATTTTTCAAGAGAATCATGCAAATGGTGATACAAACATCAAATTTGGCATGGTAATTCTCTAATGGTTACTAGTGAAGTCTGCCTAATTGGCCATTTGAAAATCCAATATGGCGGCCATTTTTCAAGATGACCGCCATATTGACCTTCAAAAGTTTATTTTTCTTATAGAAATTGATGTAGTTGGTCAATCTGAGTGATTTTTGGTGTCGATATGTATGTTTTCAAGCATGCTCAGATCATTTTTTTTGTAGTTTTAAGTCATTGTAACATTTTTATCCACATAAAATAACACCTTTAGTAAAAAAAATATATAAATAAAAACTTACTAAAAAAAAAGTACTCACTATTAGCACTGGTCCCTGTGAATTCTCCTGACAGTACATCTTTGTGCATTTACTGCTGTTCATATATGCAGCTGCAAAGTCCAGAGCGAAAGCATTTGCATATCTGGTTACAATGACTGAGGTGCTACCAAGGGAGGATTGGGATTCTTCATAATATAAGCTGGTCGGACATTGGTGAATGCCTCTGGAAGCTCAGGAACTTTCTTGACCATCGTATCTGCATTCCGTCTGAGTGGCTCACGCTCCTCACCAGCCTGCTCAGGGCTTGGATGTTGGAAGATGGACACACTGGTCCCATGGAAGAACGTTTTGGCCGTAGTCGCAGTGGGGTTGTGGTCAATGATGTCCACTGCTGAAGTCGTGAACAACTGCTTCCTCAAGATAGGTGGACACACCACTCCATCTTCCACGTACAGGCCTACAACTGCTTCTCCTAGCTGGGCTGATAATTGTAGAACTCTGTCGATGAGCTGCCTCTTTCTTGTCTTAGCAAACACAGACATGCCGGCGTAGATAGCAAAAGGTGTCTCATGGTTCCTGGAGTGTCTGTGGATTTGTGTTCCTACCTTGTAGTTGGCAAAGCAGTTGTACTGTAAGAGCTGTGACAGAGCAAGGTCAGACTTCAATGCGCCATGCTGGAGTTGGGATTTGATATCTGCACCATGTTCGATCATGCATACAAATTGAAGCAGTGATGGTGGAACAGCCTATTCAATGCATCCTTCATGAAATGTACTGCTGAAGTGTGACTTGTGCTGAAGCATGTCCCGTCGTATCATCCCAGCAGCATTGGCCAGATGGATTACTTCACAGTATTTGCTTGCTTGTGCCAGGATTGAGCCAACATCCTTCTCAAAGGCCAGAAGGATATCTCTTCCTTGGTGATGAGCTTGCAGCTGGGGGATGTGAAAAAGCAGCTGGTCCATCAGTCGAGTAGCATGAACATCGGGCGATCCAACACTCAGCTGCTCAAGTCTCTGTCTGTAGAGTGTGACCAGGTCAGCAAGTCTGAAAATGGGTGGTTCAGTACCTTCACTAGAAGCTTTCATCTGAGTGATGTAAGTGACCAGTTCAGAGAAAGCAGTTGGGTATGCGTCCTTGTTCGGATGAAGCTCTTGTGCTTCTTCTTGCTCAAGAGCATTTCGGTGTGTTCTTTCTCGGTTGTACAGGTCTGCCAGGCAGCGAGGGTGATACTTCAGTTCTTGAGCCACAACATCTCCTGCACTCAGTTTGGCAAGGAGTTTTCCATTGCTAAGTGTCTTCACACAATCATTCAATCTTTTATTAAGTTTCATTGTCATTGCATGTCTTATGTCATCTCCCAAAGCTTCTTCCTCACATAGAAAGCATTCTGTTGCTTTGGGGTCTCTGACCATTCGTGGTATCTTGCTACTGCTGCTCTCCTCTGTAGCAACTGCAGAGGTTCGCCTTATCTGAGCTCTATTTAACTTCGTTTGTTGAACAAAAGTCTGCAACTCTCATGATACTGTGCCTTGTTTCTCCTCAAGGTCTCCTCTATCCCATCATCTTCAACAAGTCTTACAGGGTCAAGCTTGATTGGCAGTGCATTGATTGAATGAAATAGAGGAACATTCCTTGCCAAGCTCTTGTAACCGTCATCTCCTTTTTTGGCAGGATTTGCATGTGGAGTCTTAAGATCTTCCTTCTTATCCTGTTGACAAAGACAACACTTTGCCCAGTCAGTGAGGAATGATTTGTTGGTAGATTTTGTGTCCATAACTATTTTTGATCTTCAGGGCTGAGGGTTTAACCTTTTACCACCCTGATGAGCACTTTCTTGTATGGGATACAACTAGGTTCATGCCTTTTGCCCTACACCTAGTCCGATCGTTCATCCAGTGTCATTAGTCCCGTGCGATCTGTACACCATCCAGATAACTAAAACCCCGTTATCCTTGGCTCGGCTCTCCTGCGCTGGCACATCCTGTCAATTCAGGTGCGGCTGCTTAACTGATTTGGGGTTGGTTAAGCAGCATTTGAGACACTAAGCTGTTGCAGTATGACATGCTTTTACTTAGCTGACACTGAACCCCATGCTGGGTTGCACAGCAGTGATGTCACCAGTGCGCCCTGGTAGTGCCCGACAATCACTCCCTCACATGCAGAGACCCTCTACATGCTACCCTCACCTAGTTGGAAAAAACATAAAACCAGTACATAAACAGTCATAAATAAGACAAATATAGATCTGGGAAATTATCAGAAATGGAAAAAAATCATGTGAGCATGGCGAACATACATATATCGACACGAAGATCATTTAGATTGACCAACTTCATCATTTCTAAAGAAAAAATCATCTTTCAAGGGTCAATTTGCAGCCATCTTGAAAATAGCCGCCATATTAGTTTCAAATAATGATTAGGCAGATTTGACAAGCTAAACTAATATGGAATGTCTCTCTCTTCTGGTCGGAGATCATACACACACACACACATATATATATATATATATATATATATATATCTATGTAAATCCACAATGAAAACGTGGATAAGATAAATCTTGATAAATCACCGGGAAATGGAAAAGTACCTTAGCTTTTTCGTTTTATTCAAGACATCTTCAGAGACAACTCTGAAGATATCTTGAATAAAACAATAAATTTCAACCTAAAAAAAAAAAAAAAAAAAAATATATATATATATATATATATATATATATATATATATATATATATATATATATATATATATATATATATATATATATATATATAAGTAAATCATGTGGGTTGATCTGGTATATGCTGATAACCACAAGGAAAAAAACACAAGTTCAAGGCTTGTGTAATTCACATCTTCAGGGGTGAGTATATATATAAATATCGGTATTTCATTTGCCTCTGAAGATGTCAGTAATGGCTAGTACTACCTGAGAACAGGGCTGTGACATTCAGAAGGCCGAGTTAGAGAGGGACAAGGAAGAAATCTTGATATTAAAGAAAGTGTTAGCGAGGATGAAGGAAGAAACGAGACAAGGAAAGCCCGTGTCTGACGAAAACTCAGGCGAATTGAAGGTTGTGAGGAGAGGGACGACCAAACTGGTGGTGAGAAAAGACACCAAGGATACAACAACAACAGCTAAGTGTACCAACTATTTCAGTCCTTTGATAGGCGAATTGGACATTAGCATAGTCAGGGACAAGGTTGACAAGGAAGGTCCGAAAACCTTAATTGTTGACGATTCCCAGGTACGGTACCTGGACAGAGCTTTTGTGGTAAAAACAAAAATTGGATGAGGGTGTGTTTGCCAGTACTCAGTATAGGAGATGTAAACAGGGAAACCAGTTACCAGATAAACAACGATGCCATTGAGAAATCCGACTGAGAGAGAGATTTAGGAGTAATGAAAAGTAGGAACCTTAAGCCAAGTAAACAATGTGTATTTGCTCAAAACAAGGCTAATAAGGTACTTGGGTTCATACAAAGGAGTGTTAGTTACAAGACTAGCGAGGTCATCCTAAAACTATATCTTGCGCTTGTGAGACTTCACTTGGATTACGCAGTTCAGTTCTGGTCACCGTATTACAGAATGGATATAGAATCCTTGCAAAGAATTCAGAGAAGAATGACAAGGCTAATCCCGGGCATTAGGAACCTTGAGTATAGAGACAGGTTAAAGCATCTTAATTTGCACTCCTTCGAGAGGCGTAGAGTGAGGGGCGATATGATAGAGGTGTATATATGGAAGTCAGGGCTGAACAAAGTGGACATTACAAAGGTACTCAAACTATCCAAACAGGAGAGAACTCAGATTTAGGCGCGAAATATGTAAACATTTGTTTGGAAATAGAGTAGTGGGTGAGTGGAACAAGTTACCAAATATCATCATTAACTCGAATACGCTGGATAGCTTCAAACACAGATTGAGTGGATATATGAGCAATAGGGGTAGGGTGTAAATAGGACTGCCTATTATGGGCCAATAGGCCTGCTGCAGTTTCCTCCTTTTTTATGTACTTATGCTTTTATATGTATTTTTCATGTAGATCCACAATGAAAACGTGGTTAAGATAAATCTTGATAAAATCACACATGGAAAAGGGAAACAATGGAGCACCTTAGCTTTCGTCTTTATTCAAGACATCTTCAGAGGCAACTGAATTACATGGACCGAGAAAGGCTTATGTACACAGGGTGACCTTACTAAACGTGAGGTTAGGTCATAATCATGACATCCACTAATCAGCACACCAACACCACCACACACGCAGAGGAGCTTAAGAGAAAGGGCAACGTGACTAGTCAAGTTAAGTGAGGAATATGGGACCCACTAATCATCTACCCCAAGATTATAATTGCTTTTAAAGCATTGGAGTTAGATGTAGAATAGATGATTGGGAATGTGGGACCTATGTACATTGTTTCCTAATTTTTCAGCGAGTTACTGACCAGTTAAAAGATGTACAGGCGACTGAAAATAGTGAAGGGTGAAGTGGCACCTGTTCTGCCATCTAACATTGATTGGAACAAATGTATCTTTTGTGAAGAGAGAAGGACTTGTCTTGCCCAGCTGACTATGCCGATCGATTTGTTGGAAAAAGATATAAAAAACTAGCAAAAAACCTTGTGGAATTCCACAAATTTGGTCAATTACCATTCAGAGCGGAACTCAATTGGCTTGGCGAAGTTGATGGTCTCGAAGTATCATTCATGCGAAGACGTGCAAAGTTCCATAGACTCTGTGCTTTAAATTTCAATGAAAAACCTCAAACAGGTGTCAAAGCACAAAAGCAGTGAAGGAGCAGAAGTACCAGAGAAATTCACCAGTACAAAAATGTCAAAGTCAGGATATGATGTGACGTGCGAACAACCTGCAACGAGAGGCAAACCGTTACACAATGCTTCCTCAATGAAAGTTGATGCACACATGAAACAATGTGCACAGAACCTACAAGATGATGTCGCAGTGGTTGCCACCATCAATGCTACTGAAAAAGTAGGACAGGAATGTTGTGACAGATTTTCCAAGAGCGTTTGAAACATTGCAATGTACCCTTATCTGAAAAACTTAAGAACAAACTCTCTTTGTTAGCAGTAACTCCCAAAAGGAAGAATCATAAAAGCAGAAGGAGGTTACATCCCTACTGTGCGACCGCAGCTTGTTTTCAACCCTATTTATTGCTTACCAAGTGAGAGTGAGTGACATGGATGATTTTTCTCTCGTGAAAATCAGTCGAACCCTCCAGCCCTCTCTGATTATGGAAGTATGCGACCTGGAATGAACGTTTTCCTCCTATCCTGTCTCGAGGATTTGGTTCCATATCATAATGCTGTATTCCCGGCCACTGCTAAAATAATAATAGTTGATGGCGCTCTCATTGTTAACATGATCAAGTCAAGTATACGTCACACATTTGATGATTATGTTGTTAAGATCATGAATTACATCCGCAGACAGTTGCTGGTGATGTTCGCAGAGTCGACGTTGTCTTTGATGTATATGTCAAATCCAGCTTCAAAGAAGCAACCCGGAAGAAAGGGGAACAAGGAATACGAAGAAGGGTTAAAGGTGAAAACAAAATACCAAGCAATTGGGCTAATTTTCTTTGAGAAAATGACAACAAAACTGAGCTCTTCCATTTAATCGCAGAGAGTTTCCCTGGCTTGGTCATTGTTACGCATGACAAAATTGTTCTCTCCTCTGATGCTTCAGTTGATGTTGCAGTATTGATACCTTGTTCTCAAGCGGAGGCTGACGCAAGAATGTTGCTTGATGCAGCAGATGGTGCTAAACAGGGTTTGCAGAAAATCATCCTAAAATCTGTTGATACAGATGTAGTTGTTCTTTGCATTAGCATGGCTAAACAGATTGCATGTAACTGTTTGCCGTTAGCATTTGATACAGGAACAGCATTCAGGTATTTCGATGCTACAGCCATGACAGAAGCAGTGGGTGATAACAATTGTACCTCGCTCCCTTTATTTCACGCTTTGACTGGTTGTGATGTCTCGTTCTTTGGTGGAAAAGTGAAACGTACAGCATGGTCAGTGTGGAGTGGTTTCAGTGAGGTTACTGCATCACTTTGTACGCTAGCTATAATGTCAACCAAAGACGAGATATTAGATATAATACCAGTAGTGGAAAGATTTGTTGTGATCATTTATGAGCGTGGCATTCAGATACAACTGTGAATGTAGCGAGGAAAGTCTTATATACCCAGAGAGGAAGGGAAATCGAAAACATTTCCCCAACACACACAACACATACTTTGTGCAGCCTTCCAAGCTGGCCATGTGTGGGGTCAATCTCTTGTGAAAGAGCCACAGTTACCTGATCGTGGGGACTTTGGGTGGTCATGGCATGAACCATCAGCACAGTGGCAAGTGAAATGGATGTCTCAACTACCAGCAGGTGAAGCCTGTCGGGTAATCATCAAATGTGGATGTACAAGGGCTGTAACACATCACGCAAATGTTAAAAAGCAAACTTGAAGTGCACTGCCCTCTACAAATGTGTAGGATGTGGGTACAAGCTCATTGCATTATTTTTATCTGGTTCATGAATATATATCATGAAATGGTTGTATATTGGGATATATGAGAGCATTTTGAATTAAATGTTGTGATATAAACAAAAAATTAATTTTGATGAGAAAATCAAAATGTTAATAATTTTTGGTCATATTTCATATACAACGTAATGTGTGTTTTGTTCCTCGCCACAAAATGTTTTAGTTAAGCTCTAGTTATGTCTTCACGTGATACTTCGATGGAAATTTTAATACATGTAACAGAATGATAATAATATTTGAAGTAATACGAGTATTTTTTATGTAACATGTTTTATGTGTGCTTTGTTCCTAGCCACAGGAGTGTGTTTTACTTACTTAACCTCCAGTCGTTTTATCTATTTTGATTCCATTAGTAATTTTTTAGTCAGTTTGACCATATTTATATGTATATCATAATCCTACATCAAACGTTATAATAAAAACATGATTAATTAATTAATTATATATATATATATATATATATATATATATATATATATATATATATATATATATATATATATATATATATATATATATATATGTATATATATGGCAGAAATCTTGTAAAAACGCACGACTGACATCACCTATATGAAAATATACTAGCTTTATTGTATGTCTTGACCATGAAAACCTGGGTATTAACACCAAAAGTAAGTATGTAGCTCACATATTATCGAAGATATTGCACATCACATTTAGGCTACCACCGCTGCCCACACACCAATCCGGGTTGTTAGGGTATTCTTCGGATTGACCCTTCTGGTTGTGGTCAAAGTAACTGCATTCCAAGTCTCATAATTTATCAAAAAGTGCATTATTAACTCCAAATTGAGCCTTAAGCACCTAGACTATATGCACATTATGATAACTTACTGATGGAAGACCATAGTAACTTCTCATTTTAACTAACCTAAAAACAACTTTGTTTCTAATATTGTTATCAAGAAGTAAGATGATGGCGCGGCAGGTGAGCGTGGCGTCGCCCCACACTCCCTGCAGGAGCTGATCCATAGCTCCATGGTTTTGGGCCAACTGGGGTTGAGAAAACAGCCGCCACGAGTCCACTACCACTACACTGTCTCCCTCTGTTGCCAGTTGTCTGAAATAATTCCGTTATTATATATATATACAAATTGACATTCCCTTATCCGAAATCCTTGGGGCCAGAGGGATTTCGGATTTCGGAATTTTCGGTTTTCAGAATGGTTAGTTTTTTTTATGTGTATTAGCCCACCTAGGCACAAGTCACTGACCCACATTGGGACCTGAGGGGCGAAAATATAATAACAATTATAATAATAATAATAATAATAATAATAATAATAATAATAATAATAATAATAATAATAATTCATAGGCCTAGGTCGTGTTTCTCACTTCTTTTATCTTTTTTCATTCTTGTATTTCTTTATTATTAGTATTATTTTATTATTATTGTTATCATTATTATTTTATTTTGGTGTATTTTTTAATTAAAATTTTTATTTACTATGAATAATTATTACTATAATTAGTATTACTATTATATTTTCGCCCCCCAGGCCCAGATGTGGGTCAGTGATCTATGCCTGGGTGGGCTAATTATAGTAAAAAAAAAATTTGCTCCACAAAACAAACTTTCGGTTTTCAGAGCTTTTCGGTGTGTTGGTGTGTGGATTAGTGGATGACATCATTATGACCTGACCTCATGTTTTTAAGGTCACCCTGTATATTAAGCCTCTCTCTGTCCATGTAATCCAGTTGCCTCTGAAGATGTCTTGAATAAAGACGAAAGCTAAGGTGTTCCGTTGTTTCCATTTTCCCGTGTGATTTTATCAAGATATATATATATATATATATATATATATATATATATATATATATATATATATATATATATATATATATATATATATATAAAAACATAAAAATGGAGGAAACTGCAGCGGGCCTATTGGCCTATACTGGGCAGTCCCGTTTACACCAACCCCTATTGCTCATATGAGCATCCAACCTATGTTTGAAGCAATTCAGTGTATTCGAGTTAATGATGATATTTGGTAACTTGTTCCATTCATCCACTACTCTGTTTCCAAACCAGTGTTTACCTATTTCACGCCTAAATCTAAATTTGTCTAATTTAAAACCATTGTTACGAGTTCGCTCCTGGTTGGATAGTTTGAGTACCTTTGTAATGTCCCCTTTGTTTAGCCCTGCCTTCCACTTATACACCTCTATCAGGTCGCCCCTCGCTCTACGTCTCTCAAAGGAGTGCAAATTAAGATGCTTTAACCTGTCTCTATACTCAAGGTTCCTAATGCCCGGGATTAGTCTTGTCATTCTCCTCTGAATTCTTTCCAAGGATTCTATATCCATTCTGTAATACGGTGACCAGAACTGAACTGTGTAATCCAGGTGTGGTCTCACAAGAGCAAGATACAGTTTTAGGATGACCTCGCTAGTCTTGTAACTAACACTCCTTTGTATGAACCCAAGTACTTTATTAGCCTTGTTACGAGCAAAAGCACATTGTTTACTTGGCTTAAGGTTCCTACTTATCATTACTCCTAAATCTCTCTCGCAGTCGGATTTCTCTATGGCATCGTTGTTCATCTGGTATCTGGTTTCCTGTTTACATCTCCTATACTGAGTACTTTACATTTGTCGACGTTGAATTTCATCTGCCATTTTTTCAGACCATTCGAAAAATTTGTTTAGATCTTCCTGTAGTTTTGCCGGAGTCCTCGTCAGATTTGATAACACGTCCTATTTTAGTGTCATCACAAATTTACTTATGTTGCTGTCAATGCCGATATCTATGTCGTTTATGTATATAATAAATAATAATGGTCCAAGTACTGAGCCTTGGGGAACTCCACTTGTGACGTTGCTCCAATGGGACTTAGTGCCGTTAATGCTCACTCGCTGTTTCCTGTCCTGTAACCACGCCCTAATCCATTTAAGGATGTCACCTTTGATGCCATGAGCTTCTACCTTTCTAATTAGTCTTTCGTGAGGGACTCTGTCGAAGGCTTTGCTAAAGTCGAGATATACCACATCATAATTGTGCCCCTCGTTCACCGATTCGAAAACTGATGAAAAGAATGTTAATAGATTAGTTAGGCAAGAACGTCCGCTTGTGAAGCCATGCTGGGAATCATTGATCAATCGGTGCTTCTCCAGGTGATTTCGAATAGAGTTTGAAATGATTGCTTCCAGTAATTTGCCTACTATTGATGTTAGACTGATTGGGCGGTAGTTAGATGATAGTGATCTATCCCCCTTCTTGAAAATCGGTATTACATTTGCTATCCTCCAGGATTCTGGTACTACACCTGTTTTTAAGGACATGTTAAACAACTTTGCTAAGGGCATACTAAGCTCTTCCTTACATTCCTTTAATACTCTGGCAAATATCTCATCGAGACCAGGTGACTTATTAGGCTTTAGTTTGTCTATTTGCTTACTAACATCGTTACTAGTCACTACTATCTCACTTAATTTGTTTTCTTCACTATCTCTGAATAGAGTCGGTGCCTCGGTATCATGTTTAAATTTCGTGGTGAAAACTGTTGAAAACTTATTCAAATTATTGCTCATTTCTCCGGCTGTTATCAGTGAGCTTCTCATTGAAGTCTGGACCGCATTGGTCCAATCTTTCTCGCTGTGTTTTAGCTTGATACATTTGGTAGAATCCTTTGGGGTTTGCCTTCGCCTCCCCTTTGCCATCCTTACCTCATTATTCCTCTTGCTTTCCTCTTATCTCGGTAACCCTACTCGCCAATACCCTATAATAGTCCCGGAGGTGAATTTCTCCACGATTTATCCTTCTACCTATAGCCTTCCTTTGGCCAATGATGTTCTTTAAATAATTATTTATCCATTTAGGGTCATTGTTGTCTGATCTGAGTTTCTTGTATGGTATGTTCTGCCTTTGTGCATTAAGTAACTCACTATTTAAATTGTCGTGGAACTCGGCAATCTCAGATCTCGTTATCAGGTCTGTGTCATCTGTCAGGTTCACAGCCAAGCGCGACACCCCCTCTCTCAGCTGCCTCTTTAAACTGTCAAAGTTTGCCCTTCTGAAATCTGGTACTTTAGTGGAATTTTCCTTACGTCTGCCCTGAAAATCTAACTGGAATCGAATTTCTTTGTGATCGCTGTTTGCAAGTTCGTTCCTACCTCGACATTGCTAATTAGGTTTTCTCTGTTCGACAGAACTAAGTCCAGTATATTATTACCCCGTGTGGGTTCGGTTATATGTTGACTTAGGAAACAGTCCTGGATCGTCTCGAGAAAATCCTCTGATTCTGTGTTACCCGTAAGGTCAGTCCAATCTATTTGGCCAAGGTTAAAGTCGCCTACTATACAGACTTTGTTGTGTATGGAAGCCCTGCGCATTTCAACCCAGATAAGTCGCTCATTGACGCTATCAAGATTGGGGGGTCTATATATTACTCCTGTGATTAATTTTTCCCGACCGTCGCTTAATTCTATCCAAATTGTTTCTGTATTCCTCTCAGTACTTATTTCCTTATTTATTTCACACTTCAGATTATCCTTAACATAGATTGCTACTACGCCTCCTTTCCTGGTCTGCCTATCGGTATGGAACAGTTTGTAACCCGCAATTTGGTATTCGACTGGTAACTCACGTGTGTCTAGGTTGATCCATGTTTCAGTGAATGCAATTATATCGATTTTTTCGGTACATACCAAGGCCCTAATATCATCCATTTTGTTTCTCATACTTCTACTGTTCGCGTAGTATACATTTAAGTTATATATATATATATATATATATATATATATATATATATATATATATATATATATATATATATATATATATATATATATATATTTAAAAACCTTAGTGATGGTCAGTTCAAAACTTATCACTGTAGCTATGTGTGTTAAGAGAAGGACGGAGGCTATGTAAATAGCCCTGCTAAATACGTCCGATCTGTGTAAGGGGTTGATTAACAATGCCGGAGGGCGCCGGCCTTTTAATGCTGACCTAAACAGTCAATGGGCCGCGCCTCAAGGAACATAAGAACATAAGGAGTCTGCAATAGGCCGGTTGGCCTGTGCATGGCAGCTCCTGTCGAGAGTTACTACCACTCTCTATCATTAATGAATCTATCCAACCTCCCTTTGAAACTTTCCAGCGTTCCAGCACTTACCACATGGTTGCTAAGCTTGTTCCACTCGTCCACCACCCTATTTGTAAACCAGTTCCTTCCTATCTCCCTCCTAAACCTAAACTTATCCAACTTGAATCCGAGGGTGATATGATTATATAAAGACAATGTATTGCCCTGACATTTATATAAAGACTAAAAGGGGCTGATGCAATCGAACTCTGGTCCTCTGTGCTTGAATAGGGATAGGCGTGTATATGGACTGTTGGGTTATTTTGGTAAGCTCGTGTTTCCTAGCTGGAGTCTGTAAAATGAAACTACGACCACATTGATGACACGGGCAATCCCCAGTAAGGCTCATATTGCTCAAGAATAAGACGTAAGAGCACGCCTTGTGTGAAATAATAGAAAGCCTAGTAGTGCTACCTGTTTTCCTTGTGGTGCCATGGCAGCGATCCATGTTCACACATAAAGGTCCAGGGTTCGATTCCCAACTAGTGAGGTATTGTGTGTGTGTGTGTGTGTGTCCCGCTAAAAAGAGATAATCGCCGATTAAGATTTCAAAAGCAACTAACGTGTTTTGCTAAGTAATGATGTTTCTTTCTTTTTACTACAAAAGCTCAATGGAAATTAATTTTTACATTGTAAATTGCTGTTTCACTTAAGATCGTTGACCATGAAAAGATATCCATATTATAACTAAAGTAGGTTAGATAAGGTTAATTAGGTAAGGTTAGGTTTGGTAAGATTAGATTACTTTTTCTATGAAACTTCATTTAGATATATTATAATAATCTACATAATAATTGATGGTTCGTCAGAGTTTCTGAAACAAGTCTGTAGAAGTTACCTCTTTTATGACGTCTCTCTCATTAGTGTAACCTAACATAACTTACCTTATCTAACTTAGGTGTAATATGGCAATCTTATGATAGTAAACGGCGTCTTGAATTTTATCACCTACCTGTAAATTTCCATTAAGTTGTAACAATAATAACAAAAATCAACTGAAAGAAATTTGCAATCACTCAAGTATAATCAAATACCTGAATTAAGAAGAAAAAACAATTGACCACGCTAAGTTTATCTGACTGAGTTAAACATCTGAAAGGTCCTCATTTGTTGTGTTGTAATTCCTTGACTATAGCTTAATCTCTCAGAAGTAAAGATTCTACAAGAGACGCATAACACATACTTTTTGCTCTCCGTTTATTGATTGTTTATTTTTAGTTTTGCAAATATTACTGCATTTTACCACAGTTTAATGCTTATTTTCCTTTCCAGCATTTTGGATTAGTCCCCAAAATTATTGTTAGTCTAAGAACTAGTGATCATTATTCCATAATATTATTATTATTTTAAACCGAACCAATGCACCACAAACATGAAGGCTGTGGCTAATTTCATCATTTAGTTCCCCGCACTACACGATTTATAACACTTTGGCATCATACAGTTTATCTTATTTCCAGCCGATAACCTAAACCTCTTCACGCATACTAATATCAAGGAATTAACTTTACTATTGGAGGCAAAAGTATCTTTCCCTGTAACAGACAATGTAACAGCAGCTTCCCTGTGAGTTATTGCAACTCTCGAAAGCTTACAGTAATTTGATATTCAGGCCTATTTCTTTCTTGACTCACCTGATCATCGTTGAGAACATTAAGCTTTGTGTTGTTGTATCGACCAGCACCAAGTGACACCCAGCAAGGTGCTGTTCCACCACCTGGCTCACCACCTCGCCCACCTGGTCTATCCACCGATCTACTACCACACTGCTGTGGTACATGGGAGCCGTCATCAGCACGTCTGTTTGGTGACTGAGGCCGGCATTACTGTCCACAGTACTACCGACACACTTTCTCACCATCAACAACGCAATGAGTGTCGTCATACGTACAGTTGTTGACATATTCGCTGAAAAATGTGAATAGTCACCTTTTAAATTTTCAAATTTACAGGAAAACAGTAAGCTTGTATAACAGCGGGAACGATGGAAAACCAATTAGGCATTATTCACACTACTGTATATTGACGGTCACTGTCCAGTCAAGGGATGACCTCGTTCCGGTCACGGCCCAGTCAAGGGATGATCTCGTTTCGGTCACGATCCAGTCAAGGGATGATCTCATTCCGGTCACGGTACTAGGGGATTCACATATACCGTCCAGTCAAGAGACGATCTCGTTCTGGTCACAGGACTAGGATACAGGTCACCGTCTCGAGTCCCTCAGTTGTAGCCAGACCATTGCGGGTTACAGTAAGATGTGCGATTTCTCTTCACCAGATTAGTAATAAATGTATTAGAAGCATATAATCATTATTTTTATTTTAAATAGACTCATCTTTCTCATAATTCCACTTCTTTGGATCCATGTTTCACAACACCAAACTCAGTGACGACTGAAGCCAGACTGGCGTGAGCACGCTCTTACCAATTACCAAGGGAGTGACGCTCTAGTAGTCCCGCTCAGGTCAAAATATCAACGGATCGTCTCTCTCACGTGACTTGACCTTGACTTGAATGTGATCGTTTGTATCAAAGACAAAAGTCGTGTCACGGATTTGTCCGAAGATTAAATATAACTCGTGAAACATAATGAGAGCCCCACCACAAGGCAGAGCGCACCAAAACTTCAGCTCTTTGGCATATGATTTCACCAAATTTCACGACACGACTTTTGTCTTTCATTGTACTCTCCCATTAAAATACATTAAATAATATTTGACTGGACCGTGAATGTAGCTTGGACTATGACCGTCACTATACAGGCAGTTTGAACAGTCCTTTACATATCTTAGGTGTATATAACTTAACTAGTAGTAGGCAGCTACCAAACAGGGAGGTACTACCGCCTGGGAAGATATTGGAAGCATAATGTGTTGTCTAATGGTAGACCCTGCTGCCGCATGGCATCACAAAAATTGTGACCAAGTCCCAGGTTGCTGATCTGACTTTCTGCTTCATTTACACACAATTGCAGGGTCTCAATTGTTTCTCTTACATTGACAACACAACTTACATATATTGTTTCTCATTTTTTATCTGTTTTTTTTCATTTTTATATTTATCGTTCATTATTATTATTACATTTTCGCCCCCAGGCCCCGATGTGGGTCAGTGACCTGTGCCTGGGTGGGCTAATACCCGTAAAAAAATAAAAATGACAGTAGAAAAATTTGGCTGCGGATTCCAATTGGACAAAAACTTTTGTCTCTGCTTCCTTCCATGATCTTGTCATTGTTATCACCAGTATCCACAGCAATATTACATTTTGTTTCGTTATTTTATATTTAGAATTCGGTAATGTCTTTTTCCTTTGAACATAAAGTACCTTGGATACAATTAGGACTCAATGCATTTAAGAGTGTGAGTAAATTTGTCAGGTCATAAATAAACTTTTAACAAAACTACAGAAAACCTGAGAGTAATAGTTAATGTGTTATTCGGTAGTATGAACGTACAGTAATGTTACAACTGCGTGAAAATTATCCCAGCATGTTGAGCGTTAAAGAAGAACAAGAGGTTTAGAAAGAGTAGAATACTGTGGAGGACGAAGTCTAGGAGCAAGAGAGGGATACTGAAGGGAGGTAGTGGGCAAGGGGGGACGAACTAAAGATGGTGGGTGACTCATTATTACATTTGGCGGAAATCCTGTTTTTTTTCTCTCAAGATTATGAAGGAATCTAAACTATACCCTGTAGGGATAGTCAGTGCAGTGTAACTCTTGCTTTGATACTTATAAGCGATTGAGTTCTTATAGACTCGAATCTCTTGAATACTATGTTTCCCATTTTCTTGTGGGGAAAAATTATTCTACTCGTGACAAGGTTGTAGCATCAAACTCGGCAAAATATAGAGATATGATATTTCTCGTTGAAAAAAAGACATTTTTTTATTATGTTTTAATAAACGCAATTCTACATAGGAAGATAAGGACTAATAAACAAAAGGTTATAGTCTGCACTAAGAGCGTATAGGGCAAACGGAGATCTAGACACTGAGGGAGTGATGGTGGTATTGTGCTTTTTCATAACTTTAAGAGGTCTGCCACTACGAGGTCTTGTGTTGACGTGACCTTCTCGTTTCCAGCGTTTGATCCACCTGCACACAGTCGATGCACTCTTACCTGTTCTCCTTGCAATGGAACGGCAGGTCATCCCGTCCATCCACATGTACACTATTCTAGTGCGTTCAGTCAAGTCTGTCGGCTTGTTAGGACGTCGATACTTCATTACTTTTCTCTATAAAAAATAACAATAATATTAATTGTGCGATTGCAGGAAACCATTAATTCCGAAAGGGTTTGACGGCAGTTGTGCGCGAGGTAAGTTGATATATGTGAGAGAATATGACAGGGTCTTCTCTCAATATTCCCGGTATGATCAGATTTTAACTTGGTTTAAAAATGTGAATTTGACTGGTTTATGTGCGATGATAGGAAATAACTGAATATTAGTAGCATTGATACGGCAACGAAATAATAATAAAATAATTTTACAATAACGACACAAAAGGTTCTAAAAAGCATAACTAAACATATTTAATTAAGATAGAGAGTATACGATCATGACATTTATGTGGCTTATGTTTTACTTGTTGAGTTGGTTTTCGTGTGCTGGGTATTCAAAATGATAAAATTATTTAAGGTGTGTGTATGAGTGTGCATATACATTATAGGTGTATGTGTGTATGTGTAGTTGTGTCTGTATGTGCGAATGTGTTTGTATTTGTACGTTAGGATGTGTGCATACGCCTCATTGTCAAATCTTTGCAGGGTACAGATACATACAGGAGTTGATCAAATACGCACAACACATTACTTTCTACATAACATTAATACGCCCAGCAAATATAACTCAAGTTAATGTTCATTAGAAGCGGCTTAAGTAAAACCTCATGCTGTCCACTGGCTAATGATAAATGGTAAAATAGTTCTGCTGATAGAAACAAGGAAAGGTGCTGGGTGACTTACTGCAAGTCAGTGTGAACTGTAGGTCACGGGAGACACTAGGAGACGAGGCGCGGTGGACGAGAACACTGAAACGAAAGCCTCAGTGTGGCTCCTTTTATTTGCTCGCTCAAGCACCGGCGGATTTTTGTTCTTTTTGTTATTACTCATTTACAGATTATAAAACAATTAATTCAATTCGACTTAATTTTTAATTGATTTATCTGGTTATATATATATATATATATATATATATATATATATATATATATATATATATATATATATATATATATATATATATATATATATATATATATATATATATATATGTGTGTGTGTGTGTGTGTGTGAACTGGTTTGATGTAACTACATTAACTGTCCATTTGTATTGCTGTACCTACTGTATCAGAGATTCATCATCAACAACTACATATAAAACTCGGCATTTAAATCAAAAGTGGGTGATTATCTCTGCAACAAGGGCGAGGAAGGCGAGGCAACAGCCCAACAGCAGTAGGTAGAAGCCGCCCTGTAAGCGGTCCAGCCCCAACACCACCTGATCCGAGCTCTCCTGCACAAGAGTAACATAAGTGTGAGGATTCATCAGTAGAATTATCTTAATTATCGTCAGATACACAGAGAGAGAACAAAGATTTTAATACATAACCCGAATCTCCGTGTATGTGAGGGACTAAATTTTAGCTTGAATATACTGCAGATTACTTGTTAATTAATATGATCCCCGTCAGTGGGCCTTTTGTCATGCGTTTCTACCCTAGGACTTCACCTGGCTGGTAAATTTGATTATCTCTACCTTCGTGCAGCTCATCCACATTTTATCTTTGTGTTAAAGTCTGATCACCACAATTATTGTCATTAAATTCAATTATTTACTACAGGCTTCTTGTAAAGTCATACCCGCTAGAAATTTTGGATGTTTATTTTTACGTGAAGCAAGGTGGAAGGTTTCGATAAAAAAATAAGTAAGAATTCTGAGTATTGACGCCAAGAACAACAAGAAAATAATGCGGTTTGATACCATTTTATTTAACATTCCTACTACTGTGAATTTCATGCCTTTATTTAGGCATAAAAGTAGTTGCTCTAAGTGTTATATGTAAAGAAAATATGTGATAAACTTTTCTTGATATATCAAAAAAAATATTTCATGAATAAATTATATGTATATTTGAGAATTAAGCAATTTAAAAATCATAGTTTCCAGAATATTTAAAAAGTATTTCTACGAATCCTCACAGTTTCACTTAACAGAACTTAGAAGAAAAGACATGAGAATCACTAATAACTTAAACACCGATAACACAACACTTTCTTTACCTAAGTGTTCAGTGGAAGTTCATCTTTATCTCGCTCTGAGTTTCTTAACTCATTTTTGGTTTTTATGATGTCGTCCAGCCACAGGTTCAGAAGTCCCGCCTCAATCAGTCGTAGTTTCATCTTGCTGATCTGACTCGTAAATGGTGCTCCTTGTCTTTGCAACACGATATATATATATATATATATATATATATATATATATATATATATATATATATATATATATATATATATATATATATATATATATATATATATATATATATATATACGTATATATATATATATATATATATATATATATATATATATATATATATATATATATATATATATATATATATATATATATATATATATATATATATATATATATATATATATATATATATATATATGCGATACCACAAGGAAAGAAAACACAGTTCAAAGCGCTTTGAACTTCGTGTTTTCTTCTTCCTTGTATCAGCATATATATATATATATATATATATATATATATATATATATATATATATATATATATATATATATATATATATATATATATATATATATATATATATATATATATATATATATATATATATATATATATGCAAGTAAATCACTGTAGGTGCGCGTGATCCAGGTATATGCTGATATCCACAAGGAAAGAGAAAACACGAAGTTCCCAAAGCGCTTTCGTGTAATTCACATCTTCAGGGGTGAGTACAGACTAAGGAGAAATGCATAACAAGGCAAATATATATGCAGTAGAGGAGGGTGAGATCAAGTCCACAATAGTCAGGTTATTAGGTAGTGACCCTACTAATCTTCAAAAAGCACCGCAGCAGTCGGTAGTCAGGTCAGAGGGTAAGATGACCCAACCTTCTCACCTGGTTACAAATCTTCTTAATTATGAAATTATCCAGTTTGTACAAACCATTACTCAAATTCATGTTGACGGATTCGGTATGTTTAATGAGACTAGATTCTATGATGTTCCTACTGTCAATTGAATTACAAGGTAATATTGAGGAGGCATTATCCCAGTCAATGCAATGCTTATTATCCCTCAAATGAACAAACAGAGCATTGGATTCCTGGCCTGTCCTAACACTATATTTATGTTGTTTAAATCTAGTTACAAGATCTTTACCTGTCTGGCCTAAGTAAAACATATTACATTCCTTGCAAGGAACTTTATAAATGCAGCCACCTGTATTGTTGGGGGAGTTCTTGATTAACATTTGTTTAACAGTGCATGAGTTTTAAATGCCACAAGCTGCCCTGGACTCTCTCCTTTCGTTACTGAATACTCATCTTCGATGATCAAGGCCCATAAATTGAAAATACGGTTGAAATTTCTCCAGACATGCCTTAGTGAAAAAGTTATGCCTAGATCAATCATCCCACAACGAGTCCTGAAGATGTCTGACCGCCCCTTTGATGAGTTACAAGAAATCATCCTAAAGAAACATTTTGAAATAGAGAAAATTTAAGTGGATGAAGCTTTCCGTATTGTAAGACAAAAAAAGCGTATTTTCAATATGAACATACCGAGTATTTGGAAAAAGTTAATGTTGGATGGCTGTTTTGATAACCTGAGACGTGAGCGTCCTGATCTTCAAGCTAAGATAGACCACAAATTGGCACTCCTCATAAGAAATAGTGATTGAACTAAGGATGCCAATCACAACTGTGTAGTGAATCCCTCCTCTAAACATCTAGACAATGATACCTTGTGTGCCCTCGGCTATGGTTTAAGTTTTGATGGCTCTAACAAGGGAGTCAACAGTGTTGACATAGCCAGAGCATTTTGCAATTTGGAGAAATTCAGTAATTTGACAAGTGTAGAAGTGAACATGTGTAAACATAAGAACATAAGAAAATAAGGAATCTGCAATAGAACATAAGAAAATAAGGAGTCTGCAAGAGGCCGGTTGGCCTGTGCATGGCAGCTCCTGTCGAGAGTTACTACCACTATCTATCATCCATGAATCTATCCAGTCTCCTTTTGAAACTTTCCAGCGTTCCAGCACTTACTACATAGTTGCTAAGCTTGTTCCAATCGTCCACCACCCTATTTGTGAACCAGTTCCTTCCTATCGCCCTCCTAAACCTAAACATATCCAACTTAAATCCGTTGTTCCGAGTCCTATCCTGCTCGGATATTATAAGAACTTTATCTATATCCCCTTTATTGATTCCTTTCACCCACTTAAATACTTCTAGCATATCTCCCCGAACTCTTCGTCTTTCTAGGGAATGCAAGTTAAGTTCTATCGGTGAGCCATGATTTTATCCAATTTAAAATTTTCCCCTCGATACCATGAGCCTTAATTTTTCTCAGAAGCCTCTGATGTGGTACTCTGTCAAATGCTTTGCTAAAGTCTAAGTAAATAACATCGTAATTTTCGTCATTATCTACTACCTCGAAGACTTTCCTAAAAAACGTTAGCAGATTTGTTAGACAAGATTTTCCCTTTGTAAACCCATGTTGAGAGTCGTAGATTAATTTGCTTTCCTCTAGATGCGATCGGATGCGATCTGCTATAATTGATTCAAGAAATTTCCCCACTACTGACGTCAAACTGATCGGCCGGTAATTTGACGCTGATGCTCTGTCTCCCTTTTTGAATATGGGTACTACATTGGCTGTTTCCACAAGTCTGGCACAACTCCAGTGTCTAACGATTTTGTAAATAAGTATACGAGGGGTCCGCTAATCTCTTCCCTACACTCTTTCAAGACTCGAGGGAAAATTTTATCCGGCCCTGGGGATTTTGTTTTCTTTAGTTTATTTATCTTCTTAAGAACATCCTCTTTTCTGATAGTGATATTCTTTAATTTCTCTTCTTCCTTTCCCTTAATATATCAGTTCCACCTCTGGAATTTCATAGCAAATTTCTTCTGTGAAAACTGATAAGAAGTAGCTGTTCAATGCTTTGCTTATTTCTCACTGCCATTTATCACTTCTCCCCTCCCTGACTTTAAAGGCCCAACTTTGTCCTTGACCTTTCTCCTATATACCTGTAAAAATACCTTGGGATTCGCCTTGGATTCTCTTGCTATTTTGATTTCATAGTCTCCTACAATGTTGTCCCAGTCAATATTTCTGAAGTTGAAATCCCCCATAATGCATAGGTTGTTATATTTTGCTGCCCTACTCATTTCCTGCCATATGGGCTGAGCTGCTTCTTTGCCAAGACTTGGGGGCCTGTAAATCACTCCTATAATTATTTTTTCTCTTCCTTCCGTGATTTCTACCCACACAGACTCGGTTCCTATTTCACCCTTTATTGAATTATTAGTACAATATTTTAATGTATCCTTGACGAAGAGTGCGACCCTTCCCCCCTTCCTACCTTCCCTGTCTTTGTGAAAAAGGTTGTACCCTTCTATGTGGTACTCTGAAAAAAAATTTTTGCTCGCCAGATTCATCCAAGTTTCGGTGATTGCTATGACGTCTACATTCTCGGTACATACAACCGCTCTCAGCAAGTCTATTTTATTTCTAACGCTCCTACTGTTTGTATAGTATACATTTAAACCTACCCTTCCCTGGTCCTGTTTTACCCCTTGTCCTGAGCAACTAATTTTACTTCCCAGGACCTGCTTGTTTTTTGACTCCCACTTTCCCCGACCCCTCTCTACTGGCGAAACCCCCCCTTCGGAGTGACAATTTCACGCTCCAGGGATGCAGACAACGTCTTTACCCCCTCACGAGACAAGTGTACTCCGTCGCGACAGT